ACTTCCCAGTGTACATATGGAACATTCACAAAGATATAACATGTTTTGAGCCATAAAACATCTATCAATAAGTTTAAAAGGATTTAGGTCATACAAAGTATGCTTCTGAATGGAATGAAAATATTAGAAGTTGAAAAAAAAGAGCGTTGAAAAAAATCTCTATTTGAAAGTGAAATAACCAATTACTTTCACAACCAATGAGACAAAAAATTTTAAATTAGAAATTAGATTGAAATAGCAGGAGGGAAGATGAGAAGGAAGGGGGAAAATAATAGGGAAAAAAATTAACCAAATTATGTTATGTGAAGGTACAAATATGTCATAATAAATCTCAGTATTATATGTAATTATAATCCACCAATAAAAACAAATTTTAAAAAGAAAGAAAATGAAACTTTCTGTATAAGTTTGTGTGGAATGCTACTGAAGTGGTTTTTTTTTTTTGAGAGAGAGAGAGAGACAGAGAGAGAGAGAGAGAGAATTTTTGATATTTATTTTTTACTTCTCGGCAGACTCAACATCTTTGTTTCTACGTGGTGCCGAGGATCGAACCTGGGCCGCACGCATGCCAGGGGAGCGCGCTACCACTTGAGCCACATCCCCAGCCCCCTGAAGTGGTTTTTAAGGGAAAAGTTATAGCATTAAATCCAACAATATATTAAAGAAAAAATGCATCATCATTAAGTAGTGTTTATCCCAGAATTCAGGCTTTATTTTGCACTGGAAAAATCAATCAATGTGATTCATCATGTTAATAAACTCAAAAAGAAAGACCAAATTATCCTCTCAATAGACGTGATCTTTGACAAAATCTATCAATTTCAGGTTTTTTAAAAATTCATTGAACTAGAAATAGAAGGAAACTTCCTCAGTGTAAAAAAGGGCACTAATGAAAACCCTATGGATAAAATCATATTTTGTGGCAAAGCCTAAATGTTTTCCTCCTATGATCAGGAATAAGACAAGGATGCCACTGTTACCACTTTTATTTAAGATAATACTGAAGTTTTTATTTATTTGCTATCCAGTACTTAACCAATTAGTACAAATGGATGGCAAACAAGACAGAGGATATACTCAACATTAAATACAAATTAAAAGCCTGGTATTTACATACCTATTTGCATGGCTAAAATTTAAAAACATGATTATACCAATAAAAATGTTTATTCACAGCACTGTGAATAAAATGAAACCCTAGTACTCTTGTTAGAATGTAAAATGGTACTACCAATTTTGAAAACAATTAGAGTGTTTCTTAAAATATTAACATACATGTTTGATGCAGCCATCCCATTTGTAGATTCTTAACTCAAAGAGATAAACCATGTCCATACAAAGACTGGTAAATGACTATTTATAGGAGCTTTATTTATATTTATAAAAAAAATTGGAAACAACCCAAAATATTAACAACAGATGAAGGAGTAAACACACTTTATATCCATACAATGAAATGCTATTCAGCATTAAAAGGAATGAGCAAATTTCATACACTCAACAACATGGATGATTCTCAACATAACTAGGCTGAGAGAAGACAGCTGGACAAAAAAGAACACATATGGCACTATTCTATTCACACAAAATTCCTGAAAACACAAACTAATCCATAGTGAGAGAAGGCATTCAGTGACTACTCAAGGAATGAGCTGAGGGGATCTGGGCAGAAGAAAGAGTGGATGAAAGAGTACCAGGAGAACTTTCAGGGCATGGATATGTTTAGTGGGGAATAAAATTAACCAAATTATGTTATGTGACTGTGGTGATCATTTCTTGGGTATAAACATGTCAAAATTTATTAAATTGTATGCTTTATATATAGTTTATTTTTTGTAATTATACTTCATAAAATATTAAACCAAAATCAATATGTTTATATGGTTTTCTAGCTTAAAAGCTTTACTGGTAAAAGTGGGGTAGGGAGAGAGAGCATGGGAGCATTAGATTAATTCCAGATAGGGAAGAGGGGTGACAGGGAAAGGGAGGGGGAAGGGGATTAGCAAGGATGGTGGAATGCAATGGTCATCATTATACAAAGTACATGTATGAAGACTTGAATTGGGTGTCAATATACCTTATATACAAACAGAGATATGAAAAATTGTGGTGTATATGTGTGAGAAGAATTGTAATGCAAAAAACCTACATGTATAATGGCATAAGTTGACGTGAACATACTTTATATACAGAGATACAAAAAATTGTGCTCTATATGTGTAATAAGGATTGTAATGCATTCCACTGCTGTCATGTATTTTAAAAAAATAATAAAATCAATTTAAAAAATTTAAAAAATATATATTTGCTATAAAGCCCCATCTTTTCTGCTATGCAAGCCAATACAAAAATACCTTAATTTCAGGCTGGGGATGTGGCTGAAGCGATAGCGCGCTCGCCTGGCATGCGTGCGGCCCAGGTTTGATCCTCAGCACCGCGTACAAACAAAGATGTTGTGTCTGCCGGAAACTAAAAAATAAATATTAAACTTCTCTCTTTTAAAAAAATACTTTAATTTAGGAAATAAAAATCTATACCTTTTGGAGTGAAAACTTTCATGTTGGCTGTAGAAAACTTAAAGAGTGGCATTAAAATGTCCTTTCCTCAAATACAGACTTCAGACATTATGCAAAAGAAAAAGTGATGGAGTTTAAGAAATTACCTAAGAAAAATGTGTTTAAAGATAATATCACAAGAAACATTTCAGCTAACAATTATGGAGTTTTAATTAGTCTGCAAGCTTCCAAAATTCCCTGTAGGTAAAGTGCAATAGCAACAGATGGAAGAAAATTTGGAAATCACAGTAGTGGGCACAGCATTTTAAAATATAGACATATTTCCAGAAAATAATTGACAAAATCTTGTATGTAAGCACTCTGATCCAATATACACGTTTAAAATAGGAATTTTTCCACTGATAAAGTGGTTTAAATGTGGATTTCTCCAAGAGAAGCCCACATCAATATTCTTTCTGATTCTTCAAAAGAAGCTCTTTGTAGATTTTTGATCTTTCATGATGATGAATATTTTTGATATGAGAATTTTCTTTCTTCTGGTTTATCATTTAATCAAAAGCATTGAAAGACTTTAAAATTTCCAAGTCAGACCTACATCAGTTACAAATTGATCACTGACCTAGTGAGTAATTAAATTGCTTGACTTTTTCTTTATAGTCCATCCAAGATAATTATATTGAAGCTCAATTGATTTTATTCACTCACTCACATATTCTTTCCATATCACTGAATATTTTACATATACCAAATACTAGAAAAAACATTGGGAATGTAAAATCAAATGAGGCCTAGAAGGTCCTGTAACCAAAGAATTTGTTGGCTAGTGTGAAGTTAGTAACTCACTGAAATATAACATAAATACTATGATAAACAACACATCTAGGTACACCTATCCCTGGAATGCAGCAGGCTCAATAGTGTGTACAAAGAAGTAATATTGGAATTAACATTGGCAAGGAAGGAGCACTAGAAAATGTGCTACATTCAAAATCCAGAAATTGAGTGAGCACTTTTTCTTAAGAATAAAATCTAACAGACCTTATATTAATTTTCTCTATATTGTTTACTAATAAGCCATTGAATTAATTGGACTAAACTTTCAATTAAGTATAAACAAAATTGAGGTATATACTTGACTACTTCACCAAAACTTCACTGGGAAAGCAATACAAGGTAGGAAGTATCTGAGAAAGTAGACTAGCTGATGGAGTGGGGAGAACTATCAGGGGTATTGGGGGGAAGAAATGATTAATAACTACTAATGGCTATATAGTTTTATTTGGGGTTATAAATCTGTCATAAAATTAATTGTGAAAATGTTTTAAAAACTCTAAACAAACTAAAAAAAACACTAGATTGTATACCTTAAGGGAGTGGATTGCATGATAGGCAAATTATATCTCAATAAAATTCTTTATATTTAAAGTCTTTAAATATAAATATACCAAATGTCTATAAATATAAATGTACGGAATGATACAATTGATATGCAATAAAGTTCATCAAAGAGGATAGCCTGGGACTTCTTAACTGGATATTCCTTTTAATAAGATCCCAATTTTATCCCATAACATTCCTTTTGATAAAGTCCTGGTTCATGGATTTTGGAGTCAAAAATACCTAGATGTTTCCCAATATTGATGTCATAAATTGCTTGAATTGAGTCAAATCTCCATTAACTGGGGTTTCCATCTGCCGTGAAACATGAGTATGGCATTGTCCACTTCCTGTGGCTGTCCAAGAACCAAATGAGGTAACATTTGGAAACTACACCAAACGTTACTGAGTAAGAATTTAATAGACAAATTTTATACCCACTAGCAGGCATTGCTATATCCCCCGCCCAATAGCACTTGCTTTGATGTAGTATTTTAGAATCCAGATTAAACAGAAAATAGTACGAACATTTTTTTTTCCCCTGAGTAGAAGCCTGAGGATTCTGCTGTTTCGCAAGGACATTTAGAATCATGTGTGAAACATGAAACTCTACAATGTCTTTGCCCACCTAGTATATTAACCTAGTATATTAACTAGACTTTGATTGCTGCAGCTTGGTATTGCAGCTTGTTAAGAAGTAATTTACTATGTGATTCCAACCCACATGGAGCAAGTGCCAAATTCAAGGCAGTGCTACAACCAGATATAGTCTTACCTGAATTCATCGTTCTACCTTGCCCCAGTGCTTTTTCTGGTGGCATGTCTGTCTTCCCATATCCTAGATTCCACAAGAGAAATCATCTGTGAAACAAAGAAAGATTATGCAGAGTTATTTTTCTATAATGTGTAATGAAGTTGCAAATTTAACTCAGACTGCAGGCTGGATAGTCAAGTAAAAATCAAATCCTTTCTTTCTTTTGCTATAGACCATCTATGCTTTCATACAAGTTTCCACTTGACTCTTCAGCAGGAAAAAGAAGGGAAAGGATAACTAAAAGGTTAATAACTACTAATGGTTATATAGTTTCAACTCTGTTTATAATAATTTAGATAGTGAACTGGTTAAGGTATTGTTAGACTCTGTAGGATTGGCTCAGTTCCTTGGGTGACCCTTTTCTCCCTTTGCTTCTGTCTGAGTTGATGCCCACCAGCATGAATGGAGGAATACATGGTTCAGAGGATCACTGAAGGGCAAAGATTTGGGGTCTTCTTGAACAGTGTTTCTGGAGTTTAGTGTGATATTCAAATATTCTCAAAACAGAAGACTAGTACACCTAAGTGCTAACATGACATTTTACCTGGCTATCAAATAGGTAAGCACAAACTAAAATATCCAAAACAGAACTCAAGATTTATTCCTTTCCCAATCTTCCCCATTCATATAAATGATCCTATAATCATCCAATCAATCCAAACCTTGGGAGTCATTCCCTTTCCCTCACCTTCCATGTCTAATGATCAACAAATCATCTCAGTTCTTCTAAAAATATTCCTTGACTCTATCCTCTTCTGCCTGTCATTCTTTTATTATTTATTTATTCTAATTTGTTATATACAATGGCAGAATGCAATTCATTTCATATTACACATCTAGAGCACAAGTTTTCAAGTTACTGATGGTACACAAAGTATTTTCACACCATTCATGCCTTCATACATGTACTTAGGGAAATGATGTCTAACTCATTCTACCATCATTCCTACACCCTTGCTCCCTCCGGTCCCATCCCAACCCTTTGCCCTGTCTAAAGTTCCTCCATTCTTCCCATGCTCCCCCTGGATTGCCATTATGAGTCAGAATCTTCATATCAAAGAAAACATTGGGCCTTTGGTTTTTTGAGATTGGCTTACTTCACTAAGCATTATATTCCCCAACTCCATCCATTTACCTGCAGCAAATGCCATGGCTTTATTCTCTCTTAATGCTGAGTAATGTTCCATTGTGTATACATACCAAAGTTTCCCTACCCATTCATCTACTGAAGGAAATCTAGGTTGGGTCCACAATTTAGCTATTGTAAATTGTGCTGCTTTATTAAACATTGATATGGCTGTGTCCCTGAAGTACGCTATTTTTAAGTCCTTTGTGTATAAGCCAAGGAGTGGGATAGCTGGGTCAAATGGTGGTCCCATTCCAAGTTTTCCAAGAAATCTTCGTACTGCTTACCATATTGGCTGCACCGATTTGCAGTCCCACCAGCAAAGCATAAGTGTGCCTTTATCCCCACTCCTTGCCAACACTTATTGTTGTTTGTATTTTTAATAACTGCCATTCTGACTGGAGTGAGATGAAATCTTAGAGTACATTTGACTTGCCTTTCTCTAATTGCTAGAGATGTTGAACATTTTTTCATGTTTGTTGATTGTATATCCTCTTCTGAGAAGTGTCTGTTAAGGTCCTTGGCCCAGTTATTTATTGGATTAATTATTTTTTTGTTGTTAAGGTTTTTTGAGTTCTTTATATATCCTAGAGATTAATGCTCTATCATATGTGCTTGTCATAAAGATTTACTCCCATTCTGTAAGCTCTCTATTCACCTCACTGTTTCTTTTGTTGAGAAGAAGCTTTTTAGTTTGAATCCATCCCATTTATTGATTCTTTTTTTATATATTTATTTTTTAATTTTTGGCGGACACAGAATCTTTGTTTGTATGTGGTGCTGAGGATTGAACCTGGGCTGCACTCATGCCAGGCGAGTGTACTACCGCTTGAGCCACATTCCCAGCCCCTATTGATTCTTGATTTTAATTCTTGGGCTATAGGAGTCTCAGGAACATACCTCAACATTGTAAAGGCTATTTATGCTAAGCCCCAGGCCAACATTATTCTAAACGGAGAAAAATTGAAAGCATTTCCTCCAAAAACTGGAAAAAGATAATGATGACCTCTTTCACCACTGCTATTTAACATGGTTCTTGAAACTCTAGCCAGAGAAATCACAGGAAAGAAATTAAACGTATACACATAGGAAAAGAAAAACTCAAATTATCACTATTTGCAGACTATATGATTTTATACCCAAAAGATCCAAAACATTCCACCAGAAATCTCCTAGAACTAATAAATGAATTCAGCAAAGTAGCTGGATATAAAATCAACACCCATAAATCAAAAGCATTTCTGTAAATCAGGGACAAATCCTCAGCAAAAGAAACCAGGAAAACCACCCCATTTACAATAGCCTTAAAAAAAAAAAAAACACCTTGGGAATAAATGTAACGAAAGAAGTGAAAGACCTGTACAATGAAAACTACACGCTAAAGAAAGAAATTAAGGAAGACCTTAGAAGATGGAAAGATCTATCTTGTTCTTGGATAGGCAGAATTAATATTGTAAAAATGACCATACTACTAAAAGCACTATACAGATACAATGCAATTCCAATTAAAATCCCAATGACATTCCTCAAGAAATAGAAAAAGTAGTCATGATATTCATCTGGAAAAATAATACACCCAGAATAGCCAAAGAAATCTTTAGCAAGAAGAATGAAGCTGGTGGCATTACTATTCCAGACTACAGAGCAATAGTAACAAAAACAGCATGGTATTGGCACCAAAATAGACAGGTAGACCAATGGTACAGAATAGAAGACACAAAGATTAATCCACATAACTACAGTTATCTTATATTAGACAAAGGCAACAAAAATTGGAGAAAAGATAGCCTCTTCAAAAAATGGTGCTGGAGAAACTGGAAATCCACATGTAACAAAATGAAATTAAACTTCTATCTCTCACCATGCACTAAACTCAACTCAAAGTGGATCAAGGACCTAGGAATTAAACCAGAGACCTTGTGCCTAATGGAAGAAAAAGTAGGCCCAAGTCTCCACCATGTCGGATTAGGCCCCAACTTCCTTAATAAAACTTAAGACTATCATTCTTGACATTATTGTGGTCCAAGCCACATCCTCTCTTCACTATATTCCTGAAGTAGCGTTTTGTGTCTTTTCAAGTTAATTCTTTACTTGCCAGCCAGACTGATCTTTAAAATGTCAATCAAATCTGCAATCACCTTCAAAACCATTGATAGCTTCCACTGTGTTTAGAATGAAATCTTGTCTAACAACAAAAAACTGAAGTTAGCTTGTCCTGCAGCCCATGAAAGATCCAGTTCCAAGTGCATATCTAGCATCATCATTCTCACTCCCAAACACAATGGCCTCTGTTATGCTTCCTGAGGAAGATAATCTCATATATGCTTTAAAACCTTTGCAATTCACTGTTCCATATGCCTGGAATACCCTTCTTGGCTCTTAGGAAACTAAAGCAATACTTCATTAGGGAGACTTCTGACCCTGTACCAAGATCAGTGGAAACTTAGTCCTCTGCATTCTATCACATCACTCATTACACTTTGTAATTATACAGATAACTAAGGTGTTAATGTGTTTTAGTAATTAACTGTTCCTTATCCCTTTTATTGCAAACTTCATGGTGATAGGAACCTTATCAATGTTGTTCTTACCATAGATTTTCAACTTAATATTTATTGAGTGGAATGAATGATTGAATAACTTCATGCTGCAGTTTTGGTATACATTCAATTGTGCTTAAAATTATTTGTGATATCATAGAGCTCCTTCTGAAGTAGGAATACTGTGTCTTTAATTGTTTAAACTACTACTGTTCCTCCTACTATAATTGTTACCACTGCTATTGCCACTATTTCTTTTTAAATATTCCATAATATTATAATTGATCTTTCAAATGGAGTTTTGGAAACAAGAGCATGGTTCTTTGACTGGTAGGAATGACCAGTGTTGGTTATATCTCCTTTTGTCACTTAAGATTGTGCCAGTAACATTTTAAGCCAGGTGCAGTGGCACACATCTGTAATCCCAGCAACTTGGGTGGCTGAGGCGGGAGGATTTCAAGTTCAAAGCCGGCCTCAGCAACTTAGCAAGGACCTGAGCAACTGAGCAAGACCTGTCTCTAAATAAAATACTAAAAAGGGCTTGGGATGTGGCTCAGTGGGTAAGTGCCCCTGGGTTCAATCATTGGTACCAAAAAAAAAAAAAAAAAAAAAAAAGACTTCACCAGTAGCCATTTTAAGAGCTGACAAGGATGATTGCCTTGCAGATTCAGTCACTCAGAAAGCTGGGATGACCTATATTCACTTAGAAAAAATTACAGTTTCTATACATTAATTGGTACCTTCTCTGGAGTGTACGCTTTGTCTGTAACCATGTGGATGTAAATTTTATGCCTAAAGCACTGATAAAACAGATAATCCCAATATCCTTTGCATTCTGTGGTTCTGGCCCATGAAGCATGATATTGCATGAGACTAGTATCATCTAGAATTTTCACTTGTCCTGAGGCCTGAAAAGACCTAATGAAATTTAATTTGTTTTGCTGGGAGCACTATTGGCTCAAGCATATTGGATTCATCTGGAAGCTTATCTCTAAAAGCCTTGAAATAACTGCTTTGACATTAACATTTTTCCTCCTGTTTTGTATTATTGTGAATATTATGAATATCTGCAGAAATTACTCAATATTGAACCCGAGGTGGTTGAAACTTTACACTAGACTTTTAAACACGAGAACTTTCAAATTTATGCACTGAAAGAGAATTTAAGAGAGTCTTTCTCCTTGGAAGCTTTCTTAGGAAACAATTTTAATTTAACCAATGAGTGCTTGTCTCCTCTCTTATTAAAATTTCTTTAGAATTAATTTTCACAGCCACTTTTCACCTTTATACCTTTTGCTGAAACTTTATTCAAGACTGATAAATGTGTTAAATAGCTCAATCTCCTGAGAGTCTCAAAATTGACATCCATCAATCCCAGTTT